ATCAATATCTCACTATCTTCGTTATAGTAACTTTATAATAAGTCTTAAAGTCAGGTAGTATAAGTCTTCCAACTTTTCTTTTTAAGTCATTTTGGCTATTCTAGGTATTAGGTCCAGAGCCGAGAGGGGGAGGTGGGGAGAGAGAAAGAGAAAGAGAGAGAGAGAGAGAGAGAGAGAGACACGAAGTCTCACGTGTAGCAAAATGTTGTTTATTTTGAGCATCTGGGTGCAGAAGAGTGGAGGCCAAAAAAACGTCCACCCCAGGAAGGGGAGAGTGGTGGGTTTTATAGAGGGTTTTTCCTGGGGGAGTAAGTAACTGAGCCAGAACAGCCGCTTATAGTAAGTTCTTTTTCAAACAACCAGCTCCTAGGACCCTTGCCCCAGTCACATCCATCCTGCAGCTCTGGCCTCATTTTTATCAGGCAAGATAGGGAGGGATAAACTTCATCCTTATCAGGAGGGAAAAGGAAAGGCAAGCTCCCCTTTTGCATTCCATTCCTTTATCTCCCTAGGGGTCTGGCAAAGGCTACTTGCCTAATACTAGGCCTTCGCATTCCCATATGAATTTTAGAATCAGTTTATCAATTTCTACAAAAAAGGAAGCTGGTATTTGGATTGGGATTGCATTGATTACGGAGCAAATTGAGAACAGATGACGTTTTAACAATATTGAATTTTCTAATCCATGAATGTAACATATCTCTGCATTTTTTTGGGTCTTTAACTTTTCTCAGCAATGTTTTGTAATTTTTGTATATAGATTTTTCACATCTTTTGTTAGATTTATCCTTAAGCATTTTATATTTTTAATGCTATTGTAAATGGTAATTTAAAATTTTATGTTTCCAATTGTTGCTAATAAATAGAAATATGATGGATTTTTGTATGTTGATCTTGTATCCTACAACTTGGTCTCACCAAGTAGTTTTCTGAGGATTCCGTGGTATTTTCTACAAAGATGATCATATTATCCATTCTGGATGCCTTTTATTTTTCTTATTAGAGTGGCTAAAACCTCTAGTACAATTTTGAATTAAAGTGGTAGAGTGGGCATTATTACTTTGTTAGTGATCTTTAGGGGAAAACATTCATTCAGTCTTTCACCATTAAGTCTGATGTTAACCGACAGTTTTTGTAGATGCTGTTTATCAGGCTGAAGAAATTCTCTTATATTTCTAGTTTGCTGAAAGTTTTTATCAGGAATGGATGTTGGATTTTTTCCAGTTGCTTTTTACTGCATATATTGAGGTATGTTAATTTCATATCTGAAAATCAGTGTAATTCATTCTATCAATTACATTGTTTTTCAGATGTGAAACTAACATTCCTGGGATAAACTGAACTTCGTCAGAGTGTGTTATTCTATTTATATATTGTTGAATTTGGTTTGCTAAAATATTGTTGAGAATTTTTGAATTTGTGTTCGTGGGATATTGGTCTGTAGTTTCTTGTAATGTAACAGAGGGAATTACCTGGGAAAAATGGCAAAAATATTTTCTGTCTCTTTAAAACATCATCCACGCCTTTTAGAGAACTAAAGCCTGCATCCCTACCTCAGGCCAGTGGTTGGGAGGGGACAGGGTAGGTCTTTTGTTTATTTGTGCTACAGGAGATGGGCCAGCGGGAACTGGTAAAGGGAGATCCTAGGCGGAGGGCAGAGATGGGATGATCAGAATGATCAATTCGTTGAACAGTAATTATCTGAAGCTTAGAACCCATCCTTTAAAAGCTCTGTATTTCTGTGAATGTGCAGGAAAAATTTGGATTTTGAGATGAGAAGGTCTACCATTTTTCTTCCTTTGCCGGCAAAGTAAACTGTCTTTCCGTCCTCCTCAAACAGCTTGTGCTCGTCTTCTTCTTTGGCCTCGTGGACAAGTGCCGAATTTTTGGTAACAATAATGTCTTTGGTTTTGGAATCAGTAACACTGGCCTCAGAATGACTTATAAAATATTCTCTTCAGTTTTCTGAAAGAGTTTGTATAGGATTGGTATTTTTGTCTTCCTTACGTATTTGGTAGAATTCATATGGGCCTGAACTTTCCTTTGTAGGAAGGGTTTTAACTACATATTTACTTTCTTCAATGTATTAGAGATATTTGTGTTATTTATTTTTCCTTGAGTAAAATGTTTTCTACGTGCAGTTCTGTTAGTTTTGTTTCATGTATTTTGATAATCTGTTATTAGCATAAATGTTTTGTGGATTAGAGCATTAGATTATTATTATATCTTGTAAATGGATTGGCTCTTTTTCATTATAAAATGGACATCTTTATCCCCGGTGATGTTCTTCGTTCTAAATTCTACTTTGTCTGGTATTATTGTAGCCATTCCAGTTTTATTTTGATTACTGTTACCATGCTGTGTTTGTCCATACTTTTACTTTTCACCTATCTATGTCTTTATATTTAAGACATATTTCTTATAGACAGCATATAAGAAAGCATTGCTGTTTAACCTGACAATCTGTCTTTTAATTGAGGTCATTTACATGACAATGGTTGGGATTAAGTGTTGTTTTGCTTTTAGTTTTCTATTTGGCCCAGCTGTTCTTTGTTCCCTTTTTCTTTCTTTGGGATTGAAATTATGTGTGTTTACTATTAAGCTATGCCTCTACCCACAGAATACTCCTGATCTCAAATGTGTGGGGGTTTTCCCATACCAGTAACCAGTTCTGCAACGCTCTGTATACCAACCAGGTGTTCTACAATTCCATTCAATTCTGACACTTACCTATCTGTAGTTAGTGTCATTCGTCATAGGTTAAGGGCTTAGTCCCACAAGATTGTCCCCATTACTGATGCTAATCACAAATACTGGGCTTCAGGTACTTCTGATCGACTGGCTACAAATTGGGAGTTCCCACAACACTGTCCTTGGGTTCAATAATTTGCTATAATGGCTCACAGAACTCAGGAAAACACTTCACTTACGTTTGCTACTTTATAATAATCAAGGATATAACTTAGGAACAGCTAGATGGCAGAGATGCTTAGGGCAAGATATTGGGAGGAGGCAGGGCGTGGAGTTTCCATCATGCCCTCTCGGTGTGCCACCCATGATGTGTTCACCAACCTGGCAGCTCTCTGAACCCCATTGTTTAGGAGCTTCCATAATACAGGTATGATTTATTAAATCATTGGCCCATTAATGATTGAGCTTAATTTCACCTCACTTTTCTTCCTGGACATTGAGAGACAGAAGCAGCTGAAAGTTCCAGCCCTCTGATCACATGGTTTGTTCCTGTGGCAACTAGCCCCCATCCTGAAGCTGTCTAGGGACACTAGGTGGCAGTCATCTCATTAATATACAAAAGGTTACTCTTATTACTACAGATATTCTTAGAGTCTTATAAGGTCTTAGGTCTTGTATCAGGAACTAAGGGCAAAGACCAATATTATAAGAAGATGCTCCTATCACTCAGGAAGTTACAAGGATTTTAGAAGCTCTGTGTCAGGAAATGGGAGCAGAGACCAAATATATATTCACAGATACTGTTTTATGTCCTTTATTGTCTTATTAGCTATAATTCTTTTTTATGTCTCTTTAGTGATTACTTTGGGGTTCATAGTATATATCTTTAACTTATCATAGTTTACCTTCAAGCAATATACTAGGTCACATGTAGTATAAGAACCTTACAAGAGTATTTTTCCATTTCTCTCTTCCTTTGTGCTTTTTGTTGTGTACTTTATTTCTATATGTGTTAGAAATCCCAACTTACATTTTATTGTGCTTTAAACAATTATTTTTTAAAGAGGTTTAAATAATAAACAGCTTTTTATGTTTACCTATGTAGTTACCATTTCTGGTGCTCTGCATTCCTTTGTGTAGAACTGGATTTTCATCTGATATCATCTTTTCTTTTGCATAAAAGATTTTCTTTAATATTTCTTGTAGTCCAGATCTTCTGCTGGTAAATTATTTCAGCTTTTGTATGCTTTATTTCACATTTGTTCTAAGAGAGATTTTTGCTGGGCATAGTGTTAATAGATTGTCAGATTTTTTTTCAGGTTTTCAAATAAAAATATTGCTACACTGTCTTCTGGTTTTCATTGTTTCTGATTAAAAGTCTGCTGTTTTTCTTATCTGAAGTTTGTGGTTCTATTTTTGCTCTCTTTTTTCCTTGTAGTTCTTGCTTATGGTACCGCATTTCTTTATGTGGTTACAGAGCTGCTTATTTCCTTTGAAAATTATTTGTGAAAATTCTTCAAGACCTATAGTAAAGATTTCTTCCTCCAGAGAACACTTATTTGCTTCTGGCTAGGGCGTTATCACTTTGGAACTATTTCAGAATCTCAGTTTGAGATGTCTTGTTTTGTTTGTTTGTTTGTTTGTTTTGACTACCCAAATGATATGAATTTGGGCTCCATATACATTCAAAGGCCAGTTTGAAAATACTCAGACATAGACAAAAGTATTTAAATTTTCTGAAAAACTAAGAAAATTTTCTTTTACTTTCTTCTTCCTCACCAGAGAAAGGTCTTGGGAAAGTATTGTATAGATTTCATTTCCCACCCCCCAATATATTGTTTCTTCACGATCACAAAACACACACAAAACTTGCCCTTTATTTCTTTATGGTTTCATTGCTTGGGTGTTTATAGTTCATCATTGGTGACCTTGGGCCTCAATGTCAGTCTCCTACACTTTTCCTCAGGCTCCTAATTGCGTGTTCCCTCCAGTTGCAATGCTACGGGGGAACCGGTACAGAGTGGAAGAGCTTTGGATTGGTCAGGGTGACACTTGGCTATTTTAGGGTCCCTTATTCTGTGTAAAAGAAAGAATTCCAGACCAAAGTATGTGCATCTGTTGATTCATATGTATTTGTTTTGTTTTTTACTTCTAAGGAAGTGGGAAAACTCTTGCCTTTGCCATCCCAATGATTCATGCAGTGTTGCAGTGGCAGAAGAGGGAGCCTGCCCCTGTTCCAGGTAACACTGAAGCACCACCCGGAGAGACCAGAACTGAGGACAGAGCTGAGACTGGATCACCAAACAAGGCTGGAACTGAGTCTGGAGTGTTGCCTGATGAGACCAGAATTGAGAGTAAAGCACTGCCCAGTGAGACTGGAACTGAGGCTGGAGTGTTGCCCAGCAAGGCCAGAGCCAAGACCAGAGGCACCGTTTCAGACCAGGCGTTGCTCTTCTGTGATGATGATGCTGGTGAAGGGCCTTCTTCCCTCATCAAGGAGAAGACTGTTCCCAAACAGAATGAGGACAAAGAGGAAAAGCTTGATCAAGAGCAGACTGGAAAGTTAAAACAAGAGTCAGATGGCAAAAGTGCCACCTATAGAGCATATCCAAAGCGTCCTCTGCTTGGACTGGTTCTGACTCCCACTCGAGAGCTGGCTGTCCAGGTCAAACAACACATTGATGCTGTGGCCAGGTTTACAGGTAAGGTTTAGTTCCAGTTAATAAACATTTTTTGAGGAAATCCTAAAAGGCATTAGAACTTTATTCTCTTGGGGAATTCCTTTGGGGAAGGGCTGCATAGTGGGAATTTTACTTTTATAATAAAAGCAGGAATTGATTACCAAGTTCTTACTATGCAAGGCACATTGCTAAGCACCTTACCTACATGATCCTATGTATTCATTCCAGTAACACTGGTTACTGTGCGAAGTCTTCCACCAGAGAGGAAAACAGAACACTGAGCGTTAGAGGAGCTTCAGATTAACTCTAATTGAAGGGAATGGGAAGGCTTTCCTTGGGGAGGTGTGTTACAGCTGTAGGTAACATCCTTCCCAGCATTGCGGTGCCCCACTGCTCAGCTTTCCCAGAGCTTTGCCTGGGTTCAAATCCAGCCCTTCTATTGTGGTTGGAGGGGAAGGAGTAGAAAGAAATGAAGTTAGGGAAGTAGACAGGGCCCAAATTACAGAAGACTTGCTAAGCTTTCCAGGAGTGGCACCAATAATCCTGCCAGGCCAGCTTTTTCAGCACCCCTTGGAAGCAGGGAGCTGTGCTGGTGACTGTCTCTGCTAATTTGGGGGCACCTGTGCCCTGTAAGAAAGTAAGCAGTGAGACTGTGAATAACTCTGTCCCTGATGTTTTCTGTCCCATAGGAATTAAAACTGCTATTTTGGTTGGTGGAATGTCCACACAGAAACAGCAGAGGATGCTGAACCGCTGTCCTGAGATTGTGATAGCCACTCCAGGCCGGCTGTGGGAACTAGTTAAAGAAAAGCACTCTCATTTGAGCAACCTTCGGCAGCTCAGGTGATAAATGGTACCTCTCCTTTCCCCCTCATCCCTTTTTCTGAAATGAACCTCAGGTGACATAGTGTGTTGAAGGCCTTCTTCCCATCACAAAATGCCATGGTGTGGTGTTATCCAGACCCAAGCCTTTAGAAAGCCGAACATGCATGAGGGATATTAGTTGAAGCCCTGTTGGTGGTGGTCATAGTGGCGTACGGGTAGGTGTGGGTATGGTTGGGGTGGGAGTAGGGTGTGCTGTGTATGATTCTTCCTACCTGCCACTAACCAATGATATGGGTCTGTCTGGATCTGCAGGTGCCTGGTAGTGGATGAGGCTGACCGGATGGTTGAGAAAGGCCATTTTGCTGAGCTCTCACAGCTGCTAGAGATGCTCAATGATTCCCAATACAACCCAAAGAGACAAACACTTGTTTTTTCTGCCACACTGACCCTGATTCATCAAGCTCCTGCTAGAATCCTTCATAAGAAGCACACCAAGAAAATGGACAAAACTGCCAAACTTGACCTCCTTGTGCAGAAGATTGGCATGAGAGGCAAGCCCAAGGTCATTGACCTCACAAGGAAGGAGGCCACGGTGGAGACACTAACAGAGACCAAGATTCATTGTGAGACTGATGAGAAAGACTTCTACCTATACTACTTCCTGATGCAGTATCCAGGCCGCAGCTTAGTGTTTGCCAACAGCATCTCCTGCATCAAACGCCTCTCTGGGCTTCTCAAAGTTCTGGATATCATGCCTCTGACCCTGCATGCCTGTATGCACCAGAAGCAGAGGCTCAGAAACCTGGAACAGTTTGCCCATCTGGAAGAGTAAGTCAGGCCTACCCTGTAGCCACCGGGCTAAGGGGCCGGGTTGGTGGGGAAATGGTGGGAAAGCTACCTTTTGTCACAGGTGTCATGGGGGGCCTTATAGGTAGATGGTAGCTTTTTTCCACCCCCTCCACAGCATTTGGCAAGGTCACCCCCATTTACTGGATTTGGTTGCTGTTAGTGCCCTACAGAAACTTAATTAATAATGAATAATGGTGATAATACCTATTATTAATTGAATACTTAGACAATAGATTAAGTCCTATGCTGGCACTTTGGATATATTATCACTTTTAGTCACTCACCTAACATCCCTAAGAAGCAGAACAGATGCATGGCTAAGAGCACAGAATCTAGAACCAGAATGCCTGAGATGAGTTCCTGGCTCTGTCATTTCATAGCTGGTCAAATTATTTCACTACTCTGTGCTTCAATTTTCTCATTATAGGGATACTAATAGAAGCTACCTCATAGAGTTGTTACCATGATTAAGTGATGGTGAATTCATGCACGTAAAAATGTTTGGAACAGTCTCTGGCTCATAGTATGGGATTGCTAAATGTTAGCATTAATAACTACTAGTCCTACTACTACTACTACTTATTATCTCTGTACTCATCTTATAGATGAAAAAAGAGGTCTAGAAAAGCCAGTCAGCTTGCCCAAGGTTTCTCAGCCTGAAAGTGGCAGAGCTGGGCCTCAGGCAAGTCTGTCAGACCCCAGAGCCCATGCTATGCCTTCCCATCTGCCTTTGGACCAGACTGGCATTCAGGGAACAGGGTGTAGATTGTCAAGATGAGGGACTGGGAAGTTGAGGCAGACTATAAATTGGCTTTCGCCCAGCAGTGTTTTGTCAGGTCACAGGTTGCATGCTTTCTAGAGCAAGTGTTTGGTTTGCCTCGTTTTGAACATTGGTAAGTAGTGTGAGTGGTTTACTGGGATTAGCTTAGAGCAGGGCTTGGCAGACTATAGCCCACATGCCACATCTTGCTTGCTGCCTGCTGTTTTTTTGTTCGGTTGTTTTTTTAAGACATGGGGTCTTGCCATGTTGCCCAGGCTGGACTTGAACTCCTGGGCTCAAGCAAACCTCCTGCCTCAGCCTCCCAAGTAGCTGGGACTATAGGCACATGCCACTGCCCCTTGCTGCTGCTGCCTGTTTTAATAGTAAAGTTTTATTGCAACATAGCAAGACCCATTTATGTATTGTTTATAGGTGCCTTTGCACTGAAATGGCAAAGTTGAATAGTTGCCATAGAGACCATACTGTTTACAAAGCTGGAAATTTGCTATCTGGCTCTTTATAGAGAAAGTTTGCTGACCCTGACTTAGAGCAGTAGTTTGATGTTTTACAAACTTGAATTTGCATCACATTCTCTAGCCCTAGCTCAGAAATATAGGGAGTTGGGACACTGAAGGGCCAGACCGTTAAGTTTTTAAGACATGCTTCAAGTGCTTTTGACTTTCCTTGTACCATACATTAAGAAACATCACCTAACACATATTTATGTAGTGCTTGCTATGAACCAGGCATTGTTCTAGGTGCTGGTAATACAATAGTGAGTAATGCAGAGTCCTGGCTGATGAAGTGCACAGTGTATCTTGTGGTGCTAAGTGCTAACCAGTTGAGTAGGGGATGGGGAAAGGAGGCTGGGTAGACATCTTTGATAAGGTGAGATTTGAGCAGAGAGCCAAAGAAAGAAATGAAGTGAGTCAGGTGGATATCTGAGGGAAGACCCTTTAAGGCCTAAGGAGTAGTAAGCACAAAGGCTTGGAAGCGAGAGCGTACTTGGCATGTTTGGGGAAAAGCAAAGAAGTTTGTGTGACTGGGTGGGGGACAGTGAGTGGGAGGGTGCTAGGAGAAGAGAGCACTGACCCAGAATATGTATAGCCTCATTTAATCCACTGGAGGGCATATTTTATGACTGCAGGATATGGCATGTTGGTTGGGATCAGTGAGACCTAGGTTTGGATCCAGACTCCACAGCTGAATAGCCATGTACATACCTTGGGAAGTTAATCTCTCCAAGGGTGTTTATAAGGACTGTAGTGTTTAGAGTACTTAGCATTTTGTAAGAGTTTGATTAATGATAGCTATTAGTTGTAATTATTAATGAGTTTTCTCTCTCTACCATAGCTGTGTTCTCTTGGCAACAGATGTGGCAGCTCGGGGTCTGGATATTCCTACAGTTCAGCATGTGATTCATTACCAGGTAAGGGCATCTGGGAATTTATAGACATCTGCCTGCATTGAATGGGTGCAAAGGTTGGGGGAGGGAGGAGTAATTGTTGGTCCCAAGGCCTCCTGCAACAGAGAATACCACTGGCATCTCGTGCCCACTGTTGCCATTTTTATAACATGGCTGAGATTTAGTTTCCAAAAACTTTGTTGGCATTGTCTGATTTAAGTAGCCCTTCTTGCCTGCCACTTGCTGTCAGCAGGTTAGAGTCTTAGTTTCTTCTATGAAGTGAGCATCCGTTAAGTGTGTAAAGTGATTGCCCTGTAGAGAAGACAAGTGTGGTAGTTATGACCTCTGGGCTCACATCCCAGCTGTGTAATCTTGAACAAGTTATTTAATCTGTCTTTGTCTCAGTTTTCTCATTTGTTAAATGGCAGTTATTAAGAGTATCTACTTCTTAGGGTTCTTATTAAGGTAAAATAAGTTAATAGGTATAAAGAGCTTAGGAAGCCACCTGGCACATTGTAAGCACTTACTAAATGTTACTGTTGACAGTAGCAATACTATTAGTGCAAGCACCTAGTAAATATTAGCATAGAGTTGTGGTTAGCAATATGGATTCCGGCAGCCAGACTACCGGGGTTTGAATCCCCAGTCTGCTGCTTCGTAGTTGGTTAGGTTTAGGCAAGTTATTTCATATCTCTGGTTTCAGTGTCATTGTTTGTAAACTGGAAGTAATAATACTACCCACCCCATAGGGATATCATGAGCATTAAATTGAGCTGATGCTGATGAAGCACACAGCACAGCGTAAGTACTCAGTAAATGGTAGCTATTATGGCATTATTAATATTTTCCCCCTTTAATTCTTTGTGCTTTTGAAAATCTTTTAAGGTGTCAATTTCAGTTTAGCAAATTTCTTCTCTTTTTGGGTAAGAGGCTGGGTCAGCCTTTGTGGAAATATCAAGATGAATCAAATACAGTCCCAGCCCCTAAAAAGCATCAGATCCGGTAGAGGAAGTGAGATGACCACAGCCATAATTTACAACAGAAGATACCAGAAAGTTACAAAATGTAATGGGAAAAAGATAACTTCTAGTTTAGGAGGTTGGCGAATGCTTTCTAAAAGATGTTTTGCATTTAAGGATGGAGAGGATTTGGACATGTAGAGGTAGGAAAGGAAGGAAAGAAATGGGGAATGTACAGGGTCAATTGGCTTAGAGTGAGAAGAGGGGATGATGGAAGAGGAGTAGTTGCTGAGGCTGGAGAGGTGAGTTGGGAGCAAGTCATTGAAGGCCCTGAGTGTTAGGTCAAGGAGTTGGGCCTTTATCCTGTGAGTGAAAAATGGCAAATAGATCTCATTTCTAGAACTATTATGAACAGTTCACAGTGGCTGCTTAGAGTACTATATTGAAAAAAAATACAGAGATGTTATCTGGGTTCAGTGGAGAAGACTGTTGTGCTTCATTAATGGTATATGTCACGGGCGTGGTGGGGTGGTGTCAGCACCCATGCCACGTTACCTGTGGATGGTATATATTAGAGTAGAGGCAGTTTAGCCAGGCGTTAGTGTGGTCGCTGGAACTTGGCTGCTTTGCTTTGAATTCTTGTTCCCCACTTAGTTGGGTAACCTAGGGGGAGTTGTTTAACCTCTGTTTTAGTTTCTTGATTTAAAAATACGGATAATCATAAAGCATCTAGTTCGTATTATTGTGTGAGCAAGAAATAAATGGGATAATACATGCAGAGTGCTTAGAATTGTCTGGTGCAATGTAGTCACTCAGTAAATGTTGGTTATGATTACCACTGTCAATTATCCATGCAGAGTTAATGAAGACCAATGGAGTTTCTGTAGCTAGAGGGAATATTGTGGTCAGAGCTGAGACTTAGGAAGATGACACTGGCAGCTCTGGGCTGGGGCCGAGGGAGTTGAGAGGACTAGAAAGAAAATAAGAAGTTACTGCCATGGTCCAGCCGAATGGTTCTGAGAACCTGAACCAGGGTAGGGACCATGAGAGGGCAGAACCTGCAGAGTGAGTGTGGGACTAAGAGGGCAGGGCTAGATTGGTCCACGATGCTAGAGAGGTTTCTACCTGCCTTGGGGATGTGGCCCTGAGGAGAAGAGCAGTTTGGTGATGGCCATGTACTGACCTCCCAGTTCCTCCTTTGGTAGGTCCCTCGCACCTCAGAGATTTATGTCCACCGAAGTGGTCGAACTGCTCGAGCCACCAACGAAGGCCTCAGCCTGATGCTCATTGGGCCTGAGGATGTGATCAACTTTAAGAAGATTTACAAAACCCTCAAGAAAGATGAGGACATCCCACTATTTCCCGTGCAGACAAAGTACATGGATGCAGTCAAGGTAAAAAGGAAAGTTAAAACCCCAGTGCTGACCAGCCTGAGCAAAAGCGAGACCCCCATCTCTACAAAAATAGAAAAATTAGCCAGGTGTAGTGGTGTGCACCTGTAGTCCCAGCTATTTGGGAGGCTGAGACAGGAGGATTGCTTAAGCTCAGGAGTTTGAGGTTATAGTGAGCTATGGTGATGCCACTGCACTCTAGCCAGGGTGACACAGTGAGACTGTGTCAAAAAAAAAAAAAAAAAAAAAACCCAGTGCTAATGAGAGGATTGGGCTGCCCTTGGGAACTAAGGAACGATAGTTCAGCCAACAGCTGAAACAGGGATCTTCGTAAAAAGAATTGGGAGCAGGAGAAGGGAGAAGGAGAGAAAGGGAGAAGGAAGAAAAGGAGAATGATCAAAGATGTGAGGCATGTTCTCCCTGAACCGTTTCTTTGCTGTCTGGCCCTGAAGTCTCCCCAGGACTCCCCTTAATGGACAGTGCAGTTGGCACCACTGCCTAGAAAGCCCATCAGAGGATTGTGGGACAGTGGAGTTAATGTGTGTCACTGAGGCAGATGGTACAGGTTTGGCACATCCCTGAAGCAGGCGTCAGTAAATCCTGCCTTTGGGGTTTTCTTTTAATTCAGCGGGCATTCATCAAGTGCATGCTGCTTACTGTGGGTCCCGGTGTGTCAGGGACCAAAGCAAGGTGGGTTCTCCTCTCCAAAGGTTCACCAGCTTGTGAGCAAGCCAAGCCCGTGCTAAAGTTCAGGTACTAATGGAGCACGTGGAACTAGTGGGCTTGGGGTTATACTGGGAGGACAAGAGGTTTTATCCAGGCCAGCTGCAGGCAGAGATGTGGAAGTGTGCAGAGGAGATGGAATTCTGGGAATTGAGGGAGCAAAAGCATGGCATGACATCCAGGACTGTTGGCCCCTCTGGCTTGAAAGGAATATTAGTTACATGGTGGGAGATGAGGATGGAAAGGTAGAGGTCATAGAGAATTCCCGCTAGTACAGAGGACTAGGAGCTGCCCAGGCTTCCTGTGGCTCCTTTTCCCCACATCAAAAGATCTTTTCCACTTTCTCTGGGCATCCTACCACTGCAGTCTAACCCCAAAACCCATTAGAGGGAGAGTTGAAATGTTTTACCTCAGTTCAGCTTTGGTATCTGGGGGAAAAGTTCACTTTGGACATCTATAGGTTGGCATCAGACCAGGATGGGTTTTCAAAGGGTGGGACAGTTGTTTGGGTTTATTGTTGGAATAGCTGGCACTTGTGATTACGTGCACACACACATGTAACCATTGCCCTCCGGGCTTTTCTCAGGAAAAGGACAAATGCATTTCACTGACCACTGATCTTAAGAGCTTTTTAAAAACACAACTCAAGTGAGACTTTTCTTCCCAGAGGCCTGAGCCTTGTATCAGATGAATATTTTCTGTTTTCCCCCAGGAGCGAATCCGTTTAGCTCGGCAGATTGAGAAAGCTGAATATCGGAACTTTCAGGCTTGTCTGCACAACTCTTGGATTGAGCAGGCAGCAGCTGCCCTCGAGATTGAGCTGGAAGAAGAGATGTATAAGGGTAAATCTTTGATCTGGATGGAACTGAGGAAAGATACATTGTTTTTCTTTTTTTCCCCTTAACTTATCTTGTGGGAGCCATCCCTGTCACTGTGGGTCCTGTCAAAAATCAGCAAGATGCCCTTTCATTCTTTGCTGACAGGCTCTACTCCCAGGTGAGCCCAATGCCCTTGGCCTTTGTGTCCTCTGTCTTGCCTGTCTCTGTCTGGAGCCCTCACCTGCCTCCCTCTTACGTGGACAGGCCATGGAGTACAGTGGTGAACAGGCTCTCTAGCCAGACTACCTGTGTTTTGAATGCCAGCCCATTCCTTTAACTGGCTGTGTGACTAAGTGAAGTTATTTAACCTCTCTGTTGTATCTCAGTTTCTTCAGCCATAAAATCTAGGTAATAAACTACCCACCTCATGGGATTGTTGTGAACATAATTAAGGAGTGTAAAGTACTTACAACAGTGCCTGGCAAATGGAAAGTATTTGATACATTATAAATTATTATTTATCATCACTGTTGTCACTATTGCACTTGCTTGCCAAGCTGACAGATCATTTCCATATCATTATCTCATGTGATCTTCTCCATAGTTTATGACATGAACAGAGCAGGAATTTATTATCCTTTTACATGTGGAAACTAGAGGCTCACAGAGGGAAGCAATTTGTGCAAGGAAACAGCTCTACCACTGGGCATTTCCTGGGCCCCAACTCTGCACTTGGGCCAGAAGCTAAGGATTCGGGGATGAATCTGCACGGTCCCTGCATAGGAAAGTTCTTGAATCTAAGAATTGGCAGAACCACATCTAGAACTGATGACACCAAAGTCCTGGCCAGTGCTCCTTCCACCCCACCAAGCATGCAGCTCAGCTGAGGTGTTGGCATTTCAGTGTCGGTGTCAACAAATTCAGAGGCAAACTTATTGTTGTCTGCTTGGTGTGGAAGCTGGAAGCCAAACCTGTGGGCTTGAGGACAGTGAGCTAGTCCTCCTGGTAGCTCAGGGTCAGGTCTGGGCCTGAACATGTGGAGGCCCTGGCTTCCCTTCCCAAGCACAGGCTGGGATGGAGCCCCGTCTGTGCCCGCCTCTGCAGCTGCAGTCACAGCAGCGGTGGTGAGGTGTGAGAGAGCTGGGCTGCAAAGAGGGACTCACTGTCTCCTGAGGGGTTTGCAGACCCCAGGTGGGCAGTAAGTGGGTAGATCATAGGAAGAAAAGTGGTCTTTAGTCAGGGGTTCTGGTCTCTGACAGCTGGCTCTGCGACTGTAGACCTCTCCCTCTATAAGCCTAAGCTGCCTCATCTCTAAAATGAAGATAATTCCAGTCTTAGAGGGTTTTCTTGAGGAGTAAAGGACAAAGTGGTCCTGCGTATCCCTCCATATGGATAGAAATGAGTTGTTTACAGTTCCTGTCAAGCCACCACTAGCTTCTGCAGAGAACTTTTAAACCTTGCCTCCCAAAAGTAGTTCTAAAACATTTTACATTGCAGTATTCATCACGGGAAACAAAAAGTTTCTACAAACCATAATAAATATCTTTTTTGTGTTGTGTTTTGAGGAGGAAAAGCTGACCAGCAAGAAGAGCGTCGGAGACAGAAGCAGATGAAGGTCCTGAAGAAGGAGCTGCGGCACCTGCTCTCCCAGCCGTTGTTTACAGAAGGCCTGAAAACCAAGTATCCGACTCAGTCTGGCAAGCTGCCCCAGCTTGTGTTTGCCCCAAGGAATGGCAAGTCTGCTCTGAGCTGTCTTTCCAAACAGAAGAAGAAGACAAAGAAGCCAAAAGAGCAGCAGCAGGAACAGCCACAGCCAAGTACAAGTGCAAATTAACTGCCCCGGTCAAGTGTGTTGTGACTGCACAGTGGTGTCTGTTCTCTGGTTATACGTGAAAACCTCCTTTCCACTTGTGCGTTTCACTCCACAATCAACCCCAGTTAGAAAACGTTCCCTCTCTTCCACCTTACCCCCGTAGCGGGAGAGACCTCATGCAGATGTGCATTGTTTGACATAAGAATCCTATGCAGCAGCTTAATATTTGTGTATTCCAGTGTCTACAAGCTTCTTGTGTGTTCAGCTTGATTTCTGAAATTAAAAACAATCGCCAGAGCCAGTGTGTCATCCTGCGTGTTTTAGCTAGAAGGTGGGGTGGTGATGCAGTTTGTTTCATCATTAACTTAGTGCTTCCCCTGGGCCGGCACAGGGCTAGGCCTCTGACAGGGCAGGAACGGTGTCACAGGCCTTTGGCTGCAGGCCAGCATTGGAGTGTGGATGGAGCGGCAGGCGGGAGTCACTAAGGAACATTGCGGCTGGGTCCTCGGCACGCTTTCCTGCTCTCCCCCATGGCAGCACCCTAATAGTTCCCTAGCTCTCCCCACTTGTTCCTGACCGTTGTGTGAGCCACCCTGGGAGGTGGGCAGGGAAGTTTTTGGGCTTCCTTCACACAGAGCCAACAGTAACAGTGGCTTGGGATCTGGCCCAAGCCTTGTCTCTACTCCCCTTCTCTGTGACAGAACAGGCTCCTGCCCACCTTGTACCGCTTCTCTTGTCCCGAGCCTTTGTGTAAAAGAGGCTTTTCCCTGGGCCTGGATTGTCTTTTGCCTTCTCCATCCTGGATACTGCCACGGTCCACCAGTCCTTAGCCCCCGGGAGGGGGCAGTGCTCCTCCTGTGGGCTCCCTTGGTGCCCCGTGCTTACCCTCTTCATAGCACTTGCCACAGTGTTTCCTAGGCTGAGCTCTTTGGGGCTGAGGCCCTTAAGGCTTGGGTCGGCCTGGTGTAAATGTGTGCTGAGGCAACAGGGATCTCCCCGTCCTGCCCCAGCTTTCTCTGGGTCAGTCTGGGTGAGTAACCACAGTAACCTCTACCCGTGGCAGAAGCACAGATTTCCACACAGCCGTCTGGGCTTGCAAACAGGTGCTTATTAGAGCACAATACAGTTGCTTACTTTAAGGGGTGCTAGGGATTGGAGGTGCACAAGTGGGCCTAGATACCCCAAGATCCAAGTAACCCAGCCTCCCTCAGCCTTACAGTTAGCAAGGTTGCGGGGATGGCAGCAGGATTCCCTCAGCCCCTCTAGGTAACTATAGCAGGACACTGGCCTCGTGCCTCAACTCAGATTCTGGTGGCACTGAGCATGGACTAAATGCCAGGCATTGTTAGGCACTTTTATCTAATTAGCATTTAGTCTTCAAGGCCCTGAGTCATAAGTCTTAATACCCAGTTTTGTAGTTGAGCATGTGGACACCGAGTGGTTAAAACTTACCCAAGGTCACACAGCAGCCGAGTGGCAGAGCTGGGGTTAGAATTCAGGGTGTCTTCCATGTGGGCCCAGGGCAAGTTCAGAAAACTACTTTGGTCTTACGAGACAGCAGTGTTGCCAAAGGATCCCCCCACCCTCCTCCCCAGTATCCCAGACAGGAGAAATCACCCCAGTCTGTGAGGTCAGCTGCTGACTAACAGCTGTCAGAGGACAGCAGGGGACTCTCCATTTCCCAAGTGATGTAGTTGAGGTCAGCAGGATTAATAAGCAGGCTCAAGGTCCCTGAGCAGCACCTGCGCCCTGGGAGTGAGGCCGCTTGTCACAGGCCAAACCCAGATCCCAGTGACCATTGATATCCTGCCCTAGCCCTTTAACAGCCCTTTTTTTGGTGCAGGAGCTAAATAGACAGGTTTTGAAAGATAGGGCCAGCCTTCCAGGCAGTACTACTCTTGTCACCTGGTCTGTGGGCAGAGCTTCCAGATCGAGTATCCTGGATCTGCCATGCAAAAGGGGCATCCCTCCCGAGCTAATCCACTCACATAGGTAATAAGCACTAGTGGAGAGTAGTATTGCTCTTGGGTGCATGCCAGGTACCCAATATTAAGCAGCCAGGACAAAAGGTGTTATGGAAACCATTTTAATGCTAGGAAAATGTTTTCACCTACTACCCAGGAAGCTGTAGGGCTTGGCCCACATCCCATAGGGCCAGGGGCCCCTGGCAACCACCCCCCCCCCCACCATTTCTGCTGAGGGTGGCAAATGTGTTTGGCCTTTAGACTTGTCTAATGGTCCCTTGATGCTCCCACTGTTTGGGGAAGCCACAGTCACTTGCCGAGGTGGCGTGCTTCCCCACCTGCTGTGCCCTTCTGCTTGCCTTTTGGAAGAGTAGGCCCGGGAGCATCTCATCTGTACAGTACTCGCAGGTGTCAGAAATTCCAGCTGTTTTCACACATCTCATTCCATTTTAACCAATAGTCCTGTGATGTGTGGGTGTTGTCTCCTCTTCATACATGTGGGAATTGGGGCTCAGAGAGGTGAAGCGACTTGGCCAAGATCACACAGCTCGTAAATGGCAAAGCTGAAGTTTGAGCCCTGGAAGTCTGGCTCCAGAGCCCCTTCATTTGTGCTTAAAATAGGAACCCAGTCAAAAGCAGGGCCAGAGTTCTTCCTGTTGCTATAGTTCTACTGATCTATAAAGTTTCCTTTGGAAAGAAAGTAGTAAACATGCAGTTATAAAGACAAGCTCTTAAAGCAACCTTCTTTCCAGCTTTTGGTGTAGAAAGAAATGGCTCCGCAGGGTGAAGGTGGAGGCTCATCCAGGAAGCGTGATGCCAGAATGACTGGCCACTGCGGACGCGCAAGGAATGTCCAGATGACTGGGTTGTAACGAGGTACCAATCCTGCCGCTCCTCTTCCACAGCGCTTGCCCTTGGAGACAGCTGAGGGCAGACGTGGAGGGAATGGGGCCAGTGCTTTGAATCTGGCCAATGGTTTTGTGAAAAAGGGAAAGCAGAGGATAGATAAGCCCATGAAGATGACTTGGCCTGCCACTGCCAGAGCCTGGGGATGCTGACTCCAAAGTGATAGATTCTTTGCCGGGAAGAGGGTCCCCCGTGAGCTTCAGTGGGGTCTCTGGCCTGGAAGCGCGGTGCAGGCAAGTCTCACGGGATTTCTCCAGCCGATGTGCCAGAGAGCTCTGCTGTTGAGACTGCCACACGAGCCACAGACGCAGAGAAGTGGCAACTAGTGCTGGCTTCTGCTGTGCGCGAGGACCCGGCTGGAAGGCCCAGGACCCAGCTCACAGCCCCTCAGAGTAGCCACGTGTGTTCACACGACAGGGATTCCCTGGAGACTTGCCCGGCAAAGAGGACGCTATTCGCAAATGTGGTGTCCTCTCCCCACTCTTCCAGTGTACTTGTCAAAGACCCCAACACCTACGCAGGCCAGGATGGGACACTGACCAAATTCAGAGATGAGGGGCAGGTTTACATTCCTGTGGAAAAGTGACATAATCACTTAGCTGGAGCCCTTTGGTCCAAATTTCAGCCAAAGGCAGTATAGAAACCAGGGGCCCTGCCTGGAACTAAAGCCCCTGACATCTAAGAGTGCTACTGGCTTTTCACAAAGGCAGAATGACACAAATGCGTCCTTTGTGTCAACAGGACTCTGAGGAGTGTGCTACTCAGTCCTTGTGCACAGTTGGGCTGTCAGCAGACTCATACAGCAGCACCAACAGATTCTAGTCAATCCCTGCAGAAGGAAACCTGTGAGAAGGCAGCCTTCTACTAAGGAAGGACCCCAAAGGGCAATTCCACACCCTGCATTTTCCCTTTCCTTCTGCAAAGGGAGAGGATGCCAGCAGCGCCTCAGCCCAGCCAGTGTGTGGCTCCCCCCTGCTGCCACCTCGCCCGCCAGCCCAGGGATGAGCTCTTGGAGGTCCCGAGGCAGCAGGGTGAGGAGGTTCCTGAAGGAGGCAGGTCCAGGGGGCTGAATGACAGCTGCTGCCCAGAGTTCTCAGGCAATTTCCACAATGGAAATCTCCCCACTGCCAGTTTCCATGGCGGTCTCTGTTCTTTCCCACCCATCCTCTCGCCAGCCCATAAAGAGAGCAGAAGGAATGGGCGAAAGAAGCCAAGGGCAGCCTTGCGAAGCGTCAGCTCTGCTCAGCTGGGGTCCACGGCTGCATGTGCCAACATCTCTACCCGGCTGAGTATCTAGACTCTACTTCCAGGATATGCTGGGGATGAAGGGACAGCTGCAGCTTCCTGGTCACAGACAGAAATACACAGATTCTGGTCAGACCCTAGCCTTCCTCAGCCTCTATTCAGGTGGGGCTGACAGCAGAACCTGAAGGGCCTACCTGCCAAAACTCAGCCAGCTCTGGCCCTGAGAGAGGTAGAAGGGGCCCAACAACTTGAGCTTCATGCCGAAGGCTAAAGGCCCCTTTCTGGACTTTGACACAAAAGTCTTTTTTCTCCTTAAGTTAGGGGTAGGAAAACACACCCATCAGGAATGTTTGGAACCACACCGCAGCCCTCACATTCAAGTTGACCTCAACAGCCCATCCACCAGAGCCCAGTCCCACAACCGACCGGACTGGATTCCTTTTCGTAGGCCTGGTAAGTAAGTCACTTGAGTCAAGACAGCTGACCTTGAGTTTTCCTCCCCTGCGGAGAGGCACTACCCCTGGTAAAGAGAAACCAGAGGACCCCATTTTCGTACAATGGAATGTCAACACTGGCAGGAACCTCCTCCAGTCGAAGAAACAGGTCTGAACAGAGTGGGTGACCCACCCAGCGTCTCACAGGGAACTGGGGTGCAGAGTCAGAGGCCCTCACTTCCTGGCCCAGGATTAGAAAGCATGTGATCCTCCATCAGAATAAATACTAAAAATACCACCATTACCACAGTCCAGAATCGGTAGGCCTCATTCCCAGTGGCTCTGCCCAGAAGGCTGTACATTTCCTAGCTACAGTCTAGATCGCTTAAAAAATTCAAAAGCCGGAATGTTCCATTCAGAATGCAGTCCCATTAGGTGACAGACTCCACTGCATGGCCTAAAATTAATCAGTGTTTATCGGCTGCGTAGAGGATGTTGTAGTGGGATGTTTTATAGAGCAGGTAAACGGAAGGGGTGGCGGCCTCGGGGAACACGTGGTGGTTCAGGGCAGTGTCCATCTCGTCCACGTACTCCACCTGCAGGGCGATGTTCAGCGCCTGGGACAGGGCTGTGATCTGGATGTGGTCACACTCCATGGCCATGGGCTCCACTTCCTGCAAAGGCCAAAACGAAAACATAAGGCAGCTCAGGAGGAAGGCCTGACAGAGGTCAAGCCAGCTCAACCCTGGCTCACGGTCACAGCAAAGCCTCGGTGCTGGGACATCGTTGTCACAACAACCCATGAGGTGGGCACTGATGTCCTCACTTCACAAAGGAAAATGGCTCACTGGGAGGAAGTAGCACAACTAGAAATTGCTAGAATTGCAAGAATTGAGCCTGGATCTCTTTTATTCTAGACCCTCCCGTTGTACCTGAGAAGAGGCCACTACCTTTGAGCGACCTGGAAAGGGGGGCAGGGATTCTTCAGGTTGGGCATCAAAGAATCTCAGAGCTGAGAGGCACCTGGTCGCCCAGGGATTCCAAGCGCAAGTGCTTTCAGAGGCGCGAGCAGAGAGAGGCAGGGGTGGTGGCGGGCTGGCGAGCACGTCCCACGCGTGGCGGGCAGCTGCTGCTAGCCGGTGCTGCCATGCAAGAGTAAGGGCCTGGGGGCTAAATCTCCTGATTTTCCAGGAGAAATCCAGATACTCATATAAAATTGCCCAATTTTTAAATATTGGCAGCTCTTTCAGGTAAATACCATGCACTGTAAACCAAAACACGTGTTGGGGCAGACGTGACTCTGGGCTGTGCAGTTGTGTAAACAGGCCAGTCCAAAGCCCTTATTCTTTAGATGGGAAATCCCAAGGGAGGGGAGGTGACCTGCCCCAAGACACTCGGTACAGGCAGCTCAGGTGGGACCTGCCTGCGACATGCTAATCTAGTGCTGTTTGAATCAGTAGGGCAGCTCTGACACCCGCATCCCCTGGCTAGGGACAGGGTGCGGCAGCCTGCAGGAGACAGCAGCAGAGCCCGGGTAGGGACTGAGAACCGAGCACCTACATGCATGCAGAAGTCTTTGATGTCCATCTCGTCGTCAATGAAGTGCCGGAAGAAGTCTCCTCGGTTCTTGATGAAGGCCGACGTGAGCAGGCGCAAGAACTGCACGATTCGGTCCGAGGCGCTCTGGTCGTTGAACACTTTCAGCAGGCTGGACACCGAGCCGTCCTTCTCCACCAGCTCCACCACGCTGTAGAACTGCGCCCACCCAGCCATCAGCCAGGGAGGCCCTGGCAAGGCCCGGCCTCGCTCCTCGCCCGCCTCCCTCATTCACAGGGGTCAGCAAGACCTCGGAATTCGTACGTACGGAGGCCTGTCTAGGGAGCAGCAGTTGGGTCTCCCCCATCAGCAGCTGGGATGGGGTTCTCATGTACACACATTCAGAGAGTCCTTGAACCCACCCCCTTAACTAATCAGATGGGGAGATGTGAGGTGGAGAGGGAGTGGGGTGAAGGAGGGGCCTCCTCCCAGGGAAGGGCAGGGCCCTGGGCTCCTTGTGCCCACACACCCCTACAAGCAGGCCACAGCCCTCTGTCCTTCCCCAGGAGGAGCAGAGCTGTGGGCTGTGTGGGGACTCCCGCCGGTGTCTGCTCTGCCAGCGTGGAAGGGGGGACCTGGCTCCTCAGCCAGCATGGCCCAAGCGAACTCACGGCATTAAAGAAGTTTCGGAACTTGTGCTCCTCAAAGCCAGCAGCCAGAAGGTCGTTTGGGGTCCGCAGTACACGCTCTTTGAACCTAAAAAGGAGCAGACGCGGTGCTTACAGGGAACCACAGGGAGTGTGCTGAGACGCCAGCTGCGCGTCCCCCTTGAACCCTGCACCCAGCGGCCCCTCCAGTGAGTCCTCAGAACCCCCCGTCCCACCACAGCTGTCCCCACGCACATTTCTACCCTATTAGCACTGCCAGCCCCTCTGCCAGGGACTCTCTCCTCGGGGCTGTGCAACAGCCGGTTTGTATCTGCTCACAAGAGTGAATTAATTGTTAAATTTTCAAGAATTCAGCCAGCCAGGTGTTAACATAGCCATTATTAAAACTCGAATGATGTAAATTTACAATGAAATAAAGCATACGAAAAAAACAAAGTTAAAAAATGTTCAAAACTCATTATTTACTGATTATTTACTATGATCTATGCTCTTGAGGTTATGGGGTTGGGTCTATTGTGCACATACAGAGGAAAAATGACATGGACTGTAGTGTGTGTTACTTTGCATCTCTTCCCAACGCCCTACTCAGTGACCTCGTAAGGACAGCTGGGAGTCGATCATGACAGGAGCATTGACAGCTATCAGCAAGCAGCTGACGGCTCACATCCGGCCTCCCAGCCCCCGCCAGCAAGCTGTTAAACGTTTGCCAGCACCCAGTCACCCGTGAACACCTGGCCCAAAGGCCCTGGCTCTGGGAACTCTGCATAGCCCCTCTGCGCCCACTGCAAGGTCCCCTAATCACACGGCCCCTGCCTGGGACCTGTCCTGGCACCCTCAGGGGCATGGGGAGGAACCTGGGCCTGGCCCCCCGCTCCAGGACACACAGAGTATAGCAGCAGAGATGAGATATGGAAGAAGGGCTGCCTCCTGCACAAGAAAGACCAAGCGAGTGGCCCTGGGTGACCAGCTAGCAGACACAGAACACTGCAGCCATGCTTAGCTCTCTTGCCCAGCACCCGTCCCCTGGGAAGGGGGATCCAGGAGGCGGGGGGTTTCACAAAGGAGTACAAAGGCCTGGGTAGCTTCACAAGCTGCTATGGTCTGGGAAGATCAGGTGCCTTGGTTGCGGGAGGGAGGCACGTGGGAGGGAGGAGGCGGGTGGCATGCGTGAATAGGAAGCTGATCTCCTAAATCAGAAACAGGGCTGCTTTTGCTTAAAGGTGACTTGCCCCTGCCTAGTCCTGGGCCATATCTAAGAGCCTGATATGACCAGGACAGGTGTGGGGTGAGCTGCCTGAAGCGGAAGGAATGAGCACTGTGCTGGCTTCTGGCTGCATCCCCCTCCCGCCCCGTAAGCCCCCTGTGGCTTTGAGCGGAGGGTTCCCCTCTGTGCCGTGTGGGTGTTGATGTCACCTCCACTGCAGGGGGCTGAGGACAGGCAGGAAGTACTGAGCATCCAGTGCTTTCCACCCTCTGGCCTGCTACTGCCACTCCACTGGCGCCCACTGGGTTTCCCCTGCGGCTCAGGGCAGGGGCTGGATGGTCAGGAGACACCCTCCCACACAGCCCAGGGGTGACAATGAGGGTGCCTCCTGAGCGGGAGGTGCTGGACAGGACTAACCATCCCAGCCCTGCCCGGGCTTGACCATCCCGCCAACTTTCAAGCCAAACACCTGGGAGTCATCCTTGACCCCCCTCCCTCTCTGCTCACATGCCATGTCCAGGCCCCGCACGAATCCTGTCTACACCAACCCCACCGCATCTAGAATCTATCTGACTGCTTCTCGCCACGCCCGTCTCGTCCACCTGCTCCCACCACGGCCATCTCTCCTCCGGGTCACTCCTGACCACGTCTCCCTGTGTCCCTGCCCCAGTCTATCCTGCACACAGCAGCCAGCAGGGCAGGTCCCCTCCTCTGCTCAATCCCCCGGTGGCTCCCATGTCATTCAGGCTGAAAGGTCCTTAGAGGGGCCCATGAGGCCCCAGCCCTCTGACCTCTCCAACCCCTGCTCAACACTGCAGCCCCCGCCCGGGCTCCCTGGCCCCCTTCCCTGCCTGACGTTTCCCGCAACACTCATCGCCACCTGACACCGGACGCAGCTACTTGTGTCCCGTCATCTTCTCCCGGTAGGATGCAAGCTCCGTGAGGCAGGGATTTCTGTCTCTCTCATTCCCGTTCACGGTGGCACCCCCTGTGCACTTACTGGCGAGGCAAGGGAGGGTGAGGGAAGGTGGCCAGAGCACAGGGGCTGGCGGAGAGAGAGACGCAGGGGCTGGGCTTGCCCAGCAATACCTCACCGAGTCCTCACGACAGCACCCTTAGGTATGAAATATTATCCACCTTCCACAGATGTGAAAACTGAGGCTCAGAGAGGCCACGTCACTTGCCCAGGGTCACACAGAAAGTAAGCGAGAGAGTGCGGTCTGACCTCAGAGGCCAGGGCGGCTGCATGGCACAATTCCAGGGGACATGGGTCATGGGGAAGACGAAGTTGGGGTCACAACCCCTGCACTGTGCTGTCTCGACCCCCACAGGGCTGTGAGAAATAGGGGGGGTGCTTGAGAAAGCTGACCACCCATCTGAAGGGCCTCAGCCGGTTTCTCACTTGGGAAACCATCTGAATGGTTCATTCAAAATAAGGAACAGATGGTTTAACTTCTGCCTCCTTGGAGAGCACCTATATTTTGAACAGGAGATGGTGGCCTTAACCTAGTAGTTCTTAACCTGGCGGGTTCGCTTTTTCCTCCCAAGGAGATACCTGGCAACGTCTGGAGATGTTTTTGGGGAGAGGTTACTATTGGCATCTCATGGGTGGAGGCCAGGCACGCTGCAGGACAGCCCCCCACAGCGAGACTGGCCCCACCCCAAACGTCAGAAGTGCTGCTGTTGAGAAACCTGCTTAGCTAAAGGGGTCCACGGACCAAGCTCAGGAGCTCTGTGACCGCAGCCCCACTGCACTGTTTCCAGGGGCTGCATGTGGGGGTGCATGTCTCCGATGAGGAGAGCCCATGGACTTCACCAAATCCTCCGAGCGCGGCGAGATCACCAAAGGTTGAGAGCCAGGAGGCCTCTTGACTCCTTGCTCCTCAAAGTGCGGTCCGAGGCCGGGCGGCATGGGCATCGCCTGGGAGCTCGCAGGAAATGCAGGACCTCAGGCCCCACCCCAGACCTACCGAACGGGAACCTGCCCCTAACCGATCACAGGACCTTTGTACAAAGGTCTGGGTGTGAGAAGCCCGAACTAACCAACACGTGAAGGTCTGACGGAGGAACGGCACAGGGAAGCCCTGCGCAGAGACCTGCTCCCACACCGAGCTCAGATCCAGGCCCGGCCAGGCGCACACCTGGGCTACACACACTCCAAACCAAGGGCAGCAGGATCATCAGAACAACAGGGCAAAGGTGCTTCTTTTGTTTGTTTGTTTTCTTTTTTTTTGGGAGTGAGTCACCAAGTACCCGCCCAAACGCAACTCACCTGGGCTGACCCAGACTTGTGGATGAAATGGGGCTGGAAAGCGCTAGAAGGTCACTGATTCTATTCCCAGCCTCTTGGCAGCCCCAACTCTACCCTAGCGAGCAGCTGGGCTTCCCCAACATCAAACGCCTCTGCCAGGCAGCCCTCCAGCTCACTCCCTGGGTTAATCAGCCTGAGCGGAGGAAAAACCCTCTTGGAGACTCAGGGTTGACCTGGCGCAGAGAACCCAGGGCCTCGAGAACCCAGGGAGGTCACCTGGCGAGTCCCTCCCACCCCACTCACTTGAGGATCTCTCTGCTCTTTCCCAGCAGGGACTCCAGGTAGGAATAGCCCAGGGCCCGGTAGAAGCAGTTTCCGTCCCCTTTGGTCTTACGGATCGCGGTGAACCTTTTGCTGAGTTCCTGTGTGGGTGGGGAGAGAAGGAAATGTGGACATCTGCAGGACAAGGGCTCGGTGTGGCACTGGGCACTGGGCCTGGCTGGGCCCCAGCCCCCCCTCTCCCAGATAACACCTGCTCCCTCCCGACAGGCTGGCTGTCCCCCCAGTCTCCCCGCACCACTCATTTCATGAATACAGAAGTGCAGTGCATGCATCCTGGCCCCAGGCAGCCCACAGCCTAGGGGAGAAGACAGACGATTAGACAGTGGTGGTGCTAGGACAGAGAAGTGCCCGGCTGGGTGCCACAGGTCAGTGGCATCGACATGGGACTTTGGAAGTCAAGGAAGGCTTCCTGGAGGAATGACGCTGAGAGAAGCAGGAGCCAGCAGCAGAAGGTGGGCGGTGGGGCTTGTGGGGAAAGAGGGGCTGCAGAGTCTGGGGAAAGGGCCTCCCGGTGCCCTGGAGGGCCTCGGTCTGGACAGTCCTCCCAATATTCCTGTGCCACCCCCTGCTCCAGCTCTACTCCCAGCTGTCAGTGTCCCTCTCAACTGGCCTGGCATCCCATTTCCTGCCCTGTGGGGCTACAGGCAGGGTTTTGACGACAGAGAATGGTTTTCAAGGGGTCAGGAAGTCCCTGCTCCCCACCATTGGCGACGAGAAGGCTCAGAGCTGACCCGGGCCCACCTGCGGCAGGCTGGCAGGGGAGGAGTTGCTCCTTTGAGTCCCTGGTCTCACCTTCTGAGAGGGTTTTAGGGGACACGAGTGTCAGCTTGCTGCTTGGCCCCAGCTCCTGCCCCAGGATGTGTACCTGTGGCTGCGTTCAGATCACATGATGCCAACACCACCACCCTTAGCTGCCGATAGGCACTTGACCCAAGCGGGACCATCAGAGTCTCAGCGAGTAAATAAAGCACTAGCACAGTGTGTAGCTTTAAAAAAAATTGCTTAAAAAAATTTTTTTTTTTGCAACTGAAGGATTTCTTGCTAAGGCAAATGCCCAACATCAAAGCATTCTGGAGTGCTGGCTTTCATTTGCCCAGGAACCTGGCCCAGGCCTTCAAAGTGGCACCTCCTTCTTTGTTCCCAACTCCAGCCCATCTAATTCAGGGTCCTTTTTTCCCCACCCTCTGCCCCACCTGGATTTTCCTCTGGTAAATCCTATTTTCAGGATGATCCCGAAGAATTGATAGAATGTCACATTTTTCTGATATTAGGTTGAAAGATGTTTCACTCTGAAAGATAAAGAAGAAACGCTGTGACCATTTCAAAAGCAACTCATGGAATTCACCACGTTGGTGGCCTCTGCTAGTTACATAAGAGAGTGAATGATACCTTCCCACGAAAAGAACATGTATGTTACCTGCATCCTAGATGCCTGCCTGGATTGTCACACTCCCAGGACAGGGACAGCCAGGCTGAGCACTGCCGTGAGGAGGGACCTGGTTATGTGGAACCTCATCTTGAAACCTGCAAACTGATTCATTTTATACTTTTTTTCTTTTTTTTTTTGAAAAAGGTCTTGCTCTGTCGCCCTGGCTAGAGTGCAGTGGCTTCATCATAGCTCACAGCAACCTCAAACTCCTGGGCTCAAGCGATCCTCCTGCCCCAGCCTCCCAAGTAGCTGGGAGTACAGGTACACACGACCATGCCCGGCTAATTTTTTTTTTGTAGGGATGGGGTCTCCCTCCCTATGTTGCTCAGGCTGAGCTCAAACTCCTGGCCTCAAGCGATCCTCCTGCCTCAGCTTGGATTTTCCTCTGGTAAATCCTGTTTTCAGGATGATCCCAAAGAATTGATAGAATGTCACATTCTATTAATGATGTCCCGTCTTGGCCTCTCAAAGTTCTAGGATTACAGGCACGAGCCACCATACCGGGGCCTGGATCGTTTTATAGAATATAATACCTTGAGCCTAATGAAACCTCATGCCAAGGATAAGTGCCTTCGTCTCCCTTTGTCCTTCCTGTCTCATTCATTCACTCACTCACTCACTCATTCATTCACTCATTCTTTTATTCATCCAACAATTCCTGAACATCCAGCCTCAGCTATGCCAAATACTGTGTCACATGCTGGAAATACAGAGGGAAGAACATCTAGCACCACCCTCCCCACCCAAGGTTCACAGTCTGGAGGGAAAATGATAATGCTACAGGGTAATAAGGCCCTCAGAAGAACTGGTACATGGAGGGAGGAAGGTTTCAGAGATCTAAGTTCATGGAGCATAGCGTGGGGAGGGCATCTCCACGCACCACCTACCGGCAAAAGTTCACACTACACCAGCTCTGAGTCAATTCCAACCCAGAAAGACAAGCCTCCTAGAGAAAGGGTCTCTCCCAGGTGAGAAGAAATCGGCAGGCAGGGAGGAGGCAAAGGCAGGAGGAAGCTGCAGGGGGAGACACGTCTGTTCTAGCAGCCAACTCCTCGCCTTGGGCTATCTCATCAGCGGGGCTCAGACAGGGAGATGCACCCCTGCCTGCAAACCGCCTTTGATCTCCGCATGAAAATAGTGTAAGAGAAAGTGGCATTAAAGCCACTTATAGTTTATAGTTTAAAATAAGTGACCCTGGCTCCCACATACAACCCAGGGAGACCATTTTTATGCAACAGTGCACAGCCGAAAGGTTGGCGTTAGTTGGGATTTTTGTAAGTGGAAATCTAGTTTTCCATCCGTTTATCGCCGTCATTTTTGACACTTAGTTGTCGCTGGAGCTTGCCTCTTTCACAGCGGCCTTTCCCAGTGGTCTCAGCCTCATCACTGACTAGAGAATGACCTCAACCCAATGCCATCTGCTCAGGGAGGAGCCTTTCAGTGTTTTAAACCCCTTTCTCCACCCGAAGAAATATATCTGGATTTTTAATGATGAGCTTTCCCCAAAGTTGAGCACACAGAAGCAGAGAGCTGGGCCACGAGATTATGAGGCCTAAACGACGTCTCGGTTTGCTCCTGTCCCCACATTGGACAGACTCCAAACTCACATCGGGCCCAGATTCCCATGTCCAGCATCAGGACTGCGGAGAGGTGCCGGGACTGGGAAGGGCCGTCTCTAGGGGACCTGGATGTCCCCACCTATCAAAGTCTCCAAGCCACACAGCCTCTCCTGCCTCGGGACAGCTTATCATACTGTCTGCCTGACTCCCCAGGGCCCATCACAGGGCCCGGCACAGAGCAGGAGCTGAGACGTTTGCTAAATGAATGATTATAAGCCGCCTCCTCCATGCGGCTTCCCTGGTCTCCCCGCCCCACCCGAGTCAGGCTCGGGCTCTCCCTTGCACTCACACTTTACTCCTTTTTCCCTTGCGGAGGCCCCACACATGCCCTCTCCTGGACTCAGGGGGTCAATGACAACTTCCCAGAGGAAAACGTAAAAGCATAATGGAAGATGTAGTTGTCCTAAAGACAGGAGGAAGAATGTTTCCAAAAGAGGAAACAGAGGAAACAAACACTTAGGGCGGGGAGAAGGGATTCTGGGTTTTGTTTCTGGAAAGTTCCATCCTGTACCCACCCTTCTTTGCAAAATTAAGTCAGCCCCAGGCTCCTTCCTCCCTCTGGCCTGACACCACGGTGGCAGGGCAACCGGAAACAATCAGGGGGCAGCAGACGACCACCCTGGGGCAGGCGCCGAGGGCTGCTGTCCCATCGGCCGTGGCCCGTTTCTTCCTCACTGGCAGAACCCTGCAACTCGATGAAAAGTGACTGGGAAAGCCGTGCCACTCCCACCGCGTTCCCAGTCACTGTCCTCGCCTCCCTCGCAGCTGTGGGCGGCCAAGTGAACGGGGCTGGCCGGCTGGACCCATGAAAAACTTGCAGGGCCTTCTAGGAAAGCTTTTGGCTTTAAATAAAAAATATTAAATGGCAGCTCAGGGCCCTCCCTGCTGCTGAGAGCTGAGCTCACCACACCCTTGGTCCCGGGGACACACCGTTGGCACCTGGCCCCGGCAAGGCATTTTTTTCACGTTTTCCCTTCATCCCTGATCCCTGCTCAGATCCCTCCATACCCCCGACCCTTGGTTGGTGGTCTCCTTGGCACGTCAATATGTGTCTGTTATGATGATGATGATAAAAATGTATGTACCACGAAACTTTCTGTTTTAACCATTTTTAACCACAGTTCGGTGGCATCAAGGACATCCACGTTGTTGTGGTACCGTCACCACCGTCCACCTCCAGAACGTTTTCATCTTCCCAAACTGAAACTCCATCTGCATTGAACGCTAACTCCCATTCCCCTTCCCCCAGTCTCTGGCAACCACCTTTCTACTTTTCTGTCTCTAATGAATTTGACTAGTCTAGGTTCCTCCTACAAATGAAATGTATCTGTCTTTTAAAAAATACAGAGTTGTATGTACGCCTGCATTTTAAGTTTGCATGTTATCCTATGGATATTGTGGGGTTTTCTTCCTTTGCTCAGTATTATTTCAGAGCCACCCCTGCTGTCACACGGCATGGGTCGCCCGCATCTGCAGGTGACGGAGCCTTGGGGCAGCGGGTTGGCTCCAGCGCCCCCTAGTGGTCTCCAGTGTGTTTACGGGGCACCTGGGGGACAAGCGGGTTTCCACCTGGGCCCTTCAAGTCCCTGCGTGGCACCTTCAGAATGACCCAAATCAGCTCAAGGCGGTCCCTGCCACCTTCCCACCAGCACAGCCCTGGTCACAGCCCCGGGCAAGACTAGAGACTCAAGTCCAGAGAAAACCCCAGGTACATCCTCAATTTTCCAGCCCATAAATCAGGTACGATGCTTTGTGTTTGATCCTGGCTGACTCTAACTGATGCTTGTTGTTTAAACTATGGCTGGACATTTCCAGGATATTATGGAGAAAGGACAGGCAGGCCACGCCTGACAATGTCCTGTCAGACCTAATCAGGCCACCTGAAGGGATTTTAGCCCTTTAATTGCTGGCTTGCAAATAGATGCTAATTAAGTCAGGCAGATAGCACCTCAACTTGGAGACAGTTTTTAGCAGATTGAAGCTGGGAATATATTTCAAAGTGAGAAAAGGATGTTTCTTTAATCTCTGGCTTTTTCCTCAGCAACCCTGGGAACTAGAACGTGGGCTGGGTGTTCAGACCGGGTTTGAGTCCTTGGAGGGAGCCTGCACTGTGTCTGCCTGCTGGCCTTGGAGGACGGGCTTGGGCTGCGACTAAAGAGCCGCATGTAAAGCACGTCCTGTAACGCCAGAGATACGCTCCTGATACCCCAGCCCTGACGCACACACCGCCCCCAACCTCCAAATTTAGAGAGAGCGGGAGTCCCCTGCTTTTCTCTCCCAAGCCTCTCTGCATCTCTAAAACCTGCCCACATAACCCAGGAATTCTTCAAGCAGCCACGTGCCCAACTCCGTGTAAGGCTCTCCAGGTACCCCTGCCCCCGACAAGAGACCGTGGGGCGGGGCACCGGAGGCTGCAGGGTGGGGAGGCGCCGAGCGGAAAGGAGTGGGCTCAGGCAGCCCAGTCCCTCAGTCCTGGAAGGCCTGTCCCAGAACACTCTAGTCTAGACAGCGTGGGACCCCGAGCGAGGTCCTCGTCACCTCCAGTGTGTGTTCTCTGAGGGCTCCTCTTGGAGTAGGCACAGCTCAGAGTTTGAATCCGGCCTCTCTGAGCTTTTGTGAGAGGTGAAATGAATGAAGTCCCACAGGACAGGGACCTTCTGTCACTTCTGTTCACGAGTGTACCCCAAGGGCCTGGAACACCATTGGCACCCAGCAGGTGCTCAGTTATTGCCTGTTGAACGAAGGAAGCTAACCTTCGCTGGGCATTCACTGCATACTCTCAATAGGTTATCTCATTTGAGCCTCAAATATCTTTTTTAAAGATGAGGAAACTGAGGCACAGAAAGGCCAAGCCATTTGCCCCAGGTCACATGGTGTGACAATCTCAGGCAGGGACTTGGGACTCTGGTCACCAAGCACATCAGAGGCATTCAACAAAGCAGGTGCCATTCTGCACCCTGTCACCCTCCAAGAAGAGAACTCACCTGGTCTATTGTCAATTCCTAACAATTCCTCAATAGCCAGGCCTCGGCTCTCACCTCTGCCTGTAACCCCAGCAACGTGCCCTTCCTCAGGGCATCCAAGTGCACCTGCAGCCCAGGCTTGGGGCCCCAGTGGGCAGCGCCAGCCCTTGGCCAGCCCCATCTCCCACCTGGGCAGGGCCGGCGAGTCAGCCTGGCCAACCAGGCCCAGCCTGCAGCCACAGCTCACCGCGTGGCCTGACCTCGAGGTGCTGACTCCTTTGCAGAGAAGGTCAGAGCCTCCAGTCTCACCTGCCAGAAGGGCAGGGCTCAGACCTGGGCCACCCTCCTCTCTCAGAAGGTCCCAGTCACCTGCAGAGACTTACACTGTCCTCAGCCCTGGCCTGGCCTGTCTGGGGCAGAGGCCTCCACGGTGGGCTGTTCCAGGGCTGATAGGAAATGCCCTTTTAAATGTCTGCTCTGGGGCATGACATATAAAATATATATGTATGGAGTGCTCGACATTTTTTTATTGATAAAGTCAAAAATGTTTGGAGGACATGGCTTTAGGGGAGATCTATTGCCCTGAGTTTCCTTTTGCTGTTGTATAATAACAAGTTAGCACAAATTTAGTGTCTCGGAACAACACAAGTTTCTGATCTTATAGTTCTGGTGGTCCCAAGTCCAAAAAGAGTCTCCCTGGGCTAAAGTCCAGATGTCAGAGGGGCTGCGCGCTTCCTGCAGGCTCCAGGACAATCTGTGTTCTGCCTTCTTCCGTTTCCAGAGGCTGCCCTGTCCCCTGGTCTGTTTCCACTGTCTCTACCGCTGATTCCAACCCCTGCTCCCCCCGCAGGGACCCTCGTAGCTCCATCCCTGCGCCCACCTGGATAACTCAGGATCTTAGTTTGATCCCATCTGCCAAGTCCCCTAGCCATGGTGACATACCGGCTCTCCTCAGGTAACACCTCCCAGCGGACCCTCCTCAGATCCTCATGTCTGCACCAACCTGTGCCTAGACAGAGCTCCAGCCTCAAACAGCCAGCAGCCGCTCGGGTGTCTGAGCACGGCTGTGAGTTAGCATGTCCCCAACCGCTCTCTTGCTCCACCACGCACCCCCAGAACGCTGCCGCCCAGCCAGAGCTCACTCCGTGGCCCAGGAGTGCTCCTCCACTCCCCTCCTGCCCGTAGGCTGTGCACAGCTCCGACCCACTTGGCCCTTGCTCTCCTCGCTCTCCTCGCTCCCGCACAGCCCCCCTTCTGCTCCTCAACAAGACATACCCGCTTCTACCTCAGGGCCTTGGCACATGCTGTTCCTCCTGCCTAGAACGCTCATCTGCCTCTTCCCATGATGCAGGTGACGTCACCTCAGAGAGACCTTCCCAGACCAGGCTGTCTGAAGTTGCCCCTCCCTCCAGCTTATTTTACCTCTTCAGGGCATGATCTGACAGTAGGTTCCCCGTTTATTTGCATACTGACTGTCTCCTTCCAGGAGAGTATCAATTCCATGAGGGCCGAGACTTTGCCTCTGTCACTGCTGGCTCCCGGGGCCTGGCACACAGCAATGCTCCAAAAATGTTGACCGAGTGCTACGGGTTGAATTGTGTCACCCCAAAATTCATATGTGGAATTCCTAACCCCCAGTATCTCAGAATGTGACCTTATTTGGAAATAGGGTTATTGCGGATGTAGTTAGCTAAGATGAGGTCGTACTGGAGCGGGGTGGGCCCCTAATCCAACCTGACTGGTGTCCTTACAGAAAGAGGAAATGAGGACACAGACACGCACGCGGGGAGAAGGCCGTGTGAAGATCAGGGTTCTGCTGCCACAGCCAAGGAACTACCAGAAGCTCGGAGGGAGGCCCGGGACAGACCCTCCCCCGGCACCTTCAGAGGGAGCGTGGCCCTGCTGACGCCTTGATCTTGGACTTCTAGCCTGTGAGAGAAAGAACTTCTGTTGTCCTGAACCCCCCAGGCCGCGGTGCTCTGCGACAGCAGCCCCGCAGACGAGCCCACTGAGTGAACGAGCGCACCATGGACTAGCTGGTCTCGGACTCCGGCCTGGCCGCCTCCACCCCTGTGTCCGCTTCACTGCCAGAGAGATCGTCCAAGTTAACCAGCTCTTACTTCTCAAAAGTATGTCACGGTTCCCTCCCCACCATCTGCAGCACCCAAACTCCACAACACAGAGAGTGAAGCCCTGCCCAGAACGTTCTGACCCCACCTAATTTTCCAGACTCATCTCCCCTGCCTCCCGCAAGCGCCCTGCATCTACAGAGGCTGCTCGCCTTGGCCAGAATACCATGGCATTGTTGACCACGTTTCCAGGCCTTTAAGCCCCCTGTGCCCCCACGTGGAATGTCCTCTTCCTCAAATCCTTCCTGAACTCTCCTACACATCCTTCAACACCCAGCTCAAAAGACCTCCTCTGCGAACCCTTCCCCAACACTCCCACCCCCTCAGAGTGCACTAACTTCCTGCTGTGCCCCCAAAGCCCTTGGCCAGCCTCTTAGGCCACTGCCAGTAGCTCAGGGACTGCTGTGTCCAGCTCTGTCTTGGCCCCAGGCTCCCGGAGAGGACAGACACCTTGTTGTTCTCATCACTGACACGGTGCCCCGCACAGGCCCGACAGGGGCGCCCACCAGGACTTGTTTCACAGGTGACAGAACAAAGCACGACAGGACCCTGTGGTTTTACTGTTTATGTCTGACTCCCACTCATTCATTCACCAAATGCTCAACGCACTTCGAGGGCTCACGAGACTCCTCACCATCTGCAGCCTCTGCCAGTGGCAGCCTCAGGCCTGGTCCTTGTCCCAGCCCCTGCCCTCCCCAAGGGGCTTCCTGTCTTCTACCTGGGGCCCCCTTCCTAAGCTTAGCCCGGTGACTTTGAAACAGGAAAGCAAAGGAGATGCTGTATTTTCCAAGGACATTGTCTTATGTCCACCCCCGCCCCCACCATGCACACCATGTGGACTCAGACAACACACGAAATTACCACACAGCACAGGGCCCAACATGGTCCCTGGCACATAGTAGGTGCTCAATAAATGCCATGTGAAGGGAAAAGAACAGACCCTGCATAGCCTCCACCCCCATGATTCCCCAGCAGACGTCCCATTTAGTGGGTTAACCACTTCGTCCACCTCCAAGGCCCCCAGGCCTCTGAGGGTGAGCGCTTGGTGCGCTGGACCCCATCTGCCCTCTGACTTCCAGTCTCCCGGGCCAGCGCAGATGGGAGGGTGGAGTCAGCAGTCTCACCACTGCGCAGCACAAAAGGCAGAAGTTGAGGTCCCACCCCCTACTGCCCCTGCTGTGCCCTCAGCTACCCAGTGGTGGCCAAAGGGCATGCCAGCCTCTGGCTCCCAGGTGGCTAAACCCAGCATTCCCAGCATTATTACCCCAGCTCGTGCCACTCCCTGGGTGATGCAGGAACAGCTGGACCACCATCCAGGAGCAGCCGAACCAGGTAAACCCTTGGGCACCAGGTAGAAGCAGGAAGCTGGTGCTTCCAGATGCCCCAGGGGCCCCCACCCACACCCCAGGCGCAGGCTGGCTTGGTCAGGACAGCGCTGGCTCAGGTGCCCTGGCTGCCCGTGCCACACCCAGAACATGCCAGGCCATGACCAGGCTTTGACCCATACCCCAGCCCACAGCATCTGCAGCGGTGACCCATTTTCCTGCCCAGACATAGGAGGGAGGAGGCCAAGCAGGAAGAACCAGGCACCCGTGCACACCCATTTCAAAGACTCCGTGATCACAGGAAAAGCCGTGGCCAATCACCTCACATGGTCCTCGCTGCAGCGCCTCACGCACATGTGCTGAGGAGGGGAACAGACCAACCAAAGCCTCTTGGCTTTCCAAGGGGTGGAGGCAAGACTTGAACCCAGGGCTGTGTGGCCCTGAGCCAGGCCACCAGACCACACACTCCACAAGCTCCCTGGAGCCCCCTGCTCAGGGTTGAAGGGTTTTAGGCAACCATCCGACCCAGTCCCCTGCAGGAAACCTGACCCCACAGAACCTGGAAGGTGGGCTGATGTGACACAAACAGCACTGAACTGGGGGTCCAGAGGCTTGGGTCCAAGTCTCAGGTCCACCACAATCAGTATCAGCCCCTTCCCTGTTTGGCCTCAGTTTGCCCACCTGCCCAAGCCCGGGAGTAGATCTGGCTCAGGGGGTCTCTGGGGCCCTTTCTGCTCAGACAAGACTCAGGATCAGGGGTTCCTCTAGTCTTTGCTTTCCCTGGACCCCTAACTCATGCTCCTCAAAACTTGAGGCAGCCTGTCCACGTGGGTCCTAACTCCAAAGACAGAGCGAATGTCCAGCCGCCCACGGGGACAGCGAACTGGCCACCTGTGCAACCCCCAAGTTCACTGATGGGGTTGGGGTGGGGGCTAGGTGGCGGTGGTCTTTGACGGCCAAACCCTCGGCGGGTGGGGCCATGAGCTGTCGACTGGGGGGCTACCTAACAAAGAGGAGGAGACCCACAGTCTGGAGACTCCAGTCCTCGTTCCGGTCCAGCCCGCCTACCTTGCGCCGTCTGGGCAGCACCCCCGGGGCCACCTGGGGCAGACGCACAGGGAGGGGGGCCTCGGGCGGAGCTAGATCTCCTCTGCTGGGCGTCCCGGGGGACAGGAGGGCGCGACCCGGTCCCCAGCATCCGTCCGGACTCAGGATCCGGGATCCGAACGCCGCGGGGACAGCGAGGGGAATGAGCCTCGCGCCCGACCCGGTCCCGCGAGTGCACATGCGCCCAGTCACGAACCCGCCCCCCGCGCCCCCTTCCCGCTCCCCCACTGCGTTCCCACCGCGACCACTGACCATAGTGACCGGAGCCGCCGGGCCAGGTCCCGCCCCAGCGAGGAGCGATCCGGTGCGGGAGGGTGCCACGGGAAGCGCTGGGGCTCCGCCGTTGGGTCGGGTGCCGGGGACTCGAGGGCGTGGGGGCGTGTGGCAAATACACCCGACCGCTCCGCGAACCAAAGCTTAGCCCTCCACTGTGTCCCAACAAGACACACGCCCTGTGATTGACGTCGGAGGTGGGCAATCAGAAGCCTGAACACAGGACGTCACAAAAAGTGGGTGGGACTTCATGCGCCTCCAGCCTATGCTTTAGGGGCCTTTTGACAGGATGCCGCCCCCTTTTAAAGACACAGAAAGCTTTTAACTAGCAAAGGAGTTAGCGCAACCCAGAAAGACAGGTAAAGGCTGAAGGGCTTTTGAACGAAACTGCAAATTGAAGTCTTCTGAAAGATTAGCTGGCTCTCCTTAATTCATAAACAAGGTCACATAAGTATAGTGTTCTCAAGATCAGAGGACAAACACTTAAGGAACACGTGTCTAATAACATTAAGTTACTCGCCTGACCCTGTGTAGCTTCTAAATAATATTTTACACCCTCCAACTCATGAATCAGTAGGTTGCCACGCACCCAATTAATGTTTGTTGAATGAATGAATGTCCAGGATCCTTGACTCTGTGGCTCTTGAACTGTAGGGATATATGTATATATATAAGGCACAGACCCGGAACCAGGTCTGGGTGACTCACCTGGCGTACAAGCTCATTATTACTGGTCACCAAACATAGGAATATGTATCATTCAGAGATTCATTCACAGCCTTGACCCCTAGAGAAGCTGCTTGGGGTGGGGAAGGGAGGGTTTGTGGGGAAGGGGTCTCCAGTGTGATGCATGCACCTGCTTTATAAATATTCTTCCCCTCCCCAACCCACCCTTACTCCACCAGCCCCAGGCACCAGGCTAGGCTCTTGGGTACATAGACATCTGTATCATGTGCTGGGTGGAGGACATGGGGTCGATGGAGGCTCAAGGAGCAGTAACAACAGCAACTGACAGTTATGCAGAGCACTTACTATGTGTCAGGCACTGTCCTAAATTCTCAGCACATACAGTATCATCTTGCTTAATTTTCTCACAACCAGTTTATGGGGGTAGGTCATGTTATTATTATCCCTACTTTACAGATGAGGAAACTGAGGCACAGAGAGATTGAGTTACTTGCCCAAATTCACAGAGCACACAAGTGGGATTCAATCCTAGGCAGTCTGACTCCAGAGCTGGTTTTGAATTCACTCTGCACATGATTACAGGGGCTGTGTACCTCCATGTGTCTATTTGGTTTTGGAGGGTTTCTGTCTGCTCTTTTGTTTTTTATAGCCAAGGAAGCCAGGGAGGTGACCCAAGCAGTCCAGTGGTGAGAAGTGGCCCAGCTGGCCTGGATCCCTGGACTGCTGACTCCTCATCCAGTGCTCGTTCCAGGATGGGTTAGGCTTCCCTCAGTGGAGGAATGGTGTGTGGTGCGTGTTATGGGGGAAGAGTCTTTCCAGCTGAAGTTTCGAGAAGCCCTCAAGCTGGGCCAAACTGAACCCTGAGCCCTGGCCTCACTCTCCTCCCCTCCTGGGGCCCAACAGTTCCAAACCAAGCTGGCGTTGTCGTGTGGAAGGAGCACTGGGGCTGGAGTCCACAAGGAACACTGGGCCCCTGGCTCTGGGCTCTGCCACTCACTACTGTGTGGCTGCAGGCAACTCCCAGGCCATCTCTGGGCTCCTCACTCAATGAGAGGGTTGGACAATCTGGGTGGTTAAAAAATCATTTTTTAAAAATAGTTTTAGTAGAAAGGCTTTAGACAAAAAAAACTTGATCTTACCCAGAATCTCAGTATATGTGTAATGAAGTCTTTCCTCCGCTGCAGCTCATATTAGCAAGGAAAAATGTCATCTCTTTAGTTTGGAACTAGGATTCTTCCTACATGCTCTGAAGCTGGTTAGAAGAGAAAAAAAGTTTCAGAAGAGTCCAGTTGGTTTCGAACTGGGTCCAAGTTGCCCCATGGCAAGGGATGAACATGTTCTGTCTGTAATGAATTGGCTCCCCTCTTCCTGTGCCCCTTCTACCTGTGTCTAGGTGTCTGGGTGGAGGGGTCAGGGAATGACAGCGGAGGCTTCACAGGTCCAGAGAAGGGTGAGGCCTCAGGTGTCCTATCTTCCAGCAAAGGACCTGGGCACCAGGGTACTGGATGCCCCAGACTTTGGGGATGGTCTGGCCTTCCTCAGACCGGTCAGACCCAGGGCTCTCCCAGGCTGACCCCACCCACTCTCTGCGGTGGCCCTGGCCCGCTTTCCTCATCATCTCTCTCCCCGACTTGCCCACTTCGCCAATACATGAGCTTAAGAGCATGGCTTTGGGTACCTGGAACCTTCCCCATGCTTTCCCAGCTCTACACAGCTTCCCTCCTGGAACACCCTTTTCTCAGGCTCTGCTTGTCACATACCACCCATCCTTCAACTCCTGGCCCCTCCTCCATGAGGCCTTCCCAGATTGCCCAGCTGGTCATGAATCCCATCGAATTTCCACACCCTGTCTGTCCTCCTTTGGTGCCGGTCCCTTGCTACTGGGATTTGGAGGGGGCAGTAGGACATGGTAATTACGAGTGTGGGCAGTGGCATCAGACATACTCATGTCACCATCCCATGGCATCAATCCTTGAACAAATCATACCCATCTGAGCCTCGGTTTCCTCATCTGTGAAGTGGGGATATTCATTCTTATCTCAAAGACTAAGTGAGATGGTCATGAAACCCACCTGACACGACGCTTGTCTCTAGTAAGTGCCCGATAAACGTGGGCTTTGCATGGTGTTTATTTGGGGCCTGGGTCTTGTTCTTGTGACTTCTGTTAACCAGGATTTGCACAGGGCAGGGAGGAGCCCCAGGAAGGTCTGTGCCTGGTGCCTGAATGGGGCACCATCTGCCCTCTCCCCAGATCAGTGGCATGAAGCTATGACGAGGGGTTTCGGGCAGCCATGCCGTATTGTAGGAGCTGTCGTCTTCCTGATGCTCTTTGCCCTGTGCTATTTCATTCACTTGACGATGCTTTCCCCACCCCAAAGGCTGCAGGCGGGTGCTTTGCAGGAGGACCAGGTCCCCAGGATGTAAAGCGCGTCGCCTCCGTACACAGTGCAGGCTCACTGGCGCTTTGAGTTTCCCTGCTGGATGCCATCCCTCTACCCCTGCAACCTTCCCCTGGGAAACTTGTTGAGGCACAAATTCAGGTGTTGTTTCACCGCTGGGGACAATCAGAAAGTAGAAGAGCTGGAACTGCCTCCGCCCACGTCCCACCCCGGGGGTGAAGTTGAGAATGAGGCTTTTGTTTTTGAGAAAAGAGGCTCTTTCTAGGAAGCACGAAGGGATTAGGGAAGTTAGAGAATGGGGAGGTGGATCTAGCTGAATAGGGAGAATTTTCTGGAATATAGGAAGGGTGGAATCAGTTGTCCCAGAACAGAGGAGACTCCTAGTGCAGAAAATGGGTCACTGCTTATTCACACATCACCTGTTGGACCCAGAAGGGAAAAGCCTGTATCGTGTGCGGGAGCTCAGGCCCCTGGCCGGGGGAAGACCCCTTTGTCCTTCCCGTCGAGGCATCGTGCGTGTTTGGGCAAGGGGTGTAGCAACAAGACCAAAGACATTCATTTAACACGCCACCAAGATTTATTGCGCATCTGCTACGTGGTGGACACTGATGACGTACACCACTGCGCAAAACTGACACACATCACTGCCTCACTCGGCTTACACCCTAGTGGGGAAGTAACATTTAGTTATTCTGCACGGAGTAAGTTGCCCAGGACCATGCCCGCCCAAGGGGATTAGGGAGAGGATGGGGAGGGAGCCCCCAAAATAATTGAGATTTGGTTTTCCACCAGCACCGGGAGATGGGACACACTGCGAGAGTTCATTTTAGTGGGGAGAATCCAAAGGACTGTGGTGTGTCTTGGATCCCCAGAGAGGACCCCAGAGAGAAGGCACGAGAGGCTTTTCCAATGTGAGGCAGGAAAATCTGGAGGAGAAATAATTTTATAAAACTGGGTTAGGACTATGTCACACCTCCGTTTTCAGTTGAAATGTGACCACAGCCCCAGAGGGTAATACATGGGCCAATTTCCAGTCAGCCGCCCATTTGCGGTCTCTCCAGGGCCCGGATTTGGAAAGCTAATGTTTCTCAGTTCAGATGCCCCATGCAGCCTCCTGGGCTGGGCAGGAAACAGTCTCTGGCTTCTATGAGAAGAGAAGCATTTAGTGTGGTTTACAGAAAGCCACAGCTGGTGGGAGGTCCCTGGGCTTGGAGAGAGCTGCCCATCCCAACCTATCCTCAATCCCTTTGGGGGGACAGAGAGCCCCTCTCCTAAAGGCAGCTGGAACATGTCCCAGCAATGAGACCTTGGGAAGTTTACACGACCTCTGCAATCAGTAGCATCCAAATGGCCCCAGGGAACCGCTCCCCCGCCCCCCCACACACACACTGCCTCCTGTGTTCCAGCCTCTGGGTGATCCACACTCCCTTGAGTGTGGGCTGGACCTAGTGACTTGTGTCTAACCAATAAGGTACGGCCAAAGTGATGGAATGTCATTTCTGAGATTAGGTCACCAAGAGACTATGGCTTCCGGCTTGCTAGGTCTCTCTCACCCTCTCGCTGACTGTGTTGTAAGCCACTCTGTGGAAAGATCCACAGGCAAGGAGCTGAGGGAGACCCTCAGCCAACAGGCAAAGAACTCAGGCCCTCAGTCAGAAACCTGTGAGGAGCTTCATCCGCCAACAGCCGCGTGAGTGAGCCTGGAAGACGACTCTCCCTGGTCGAGCCTTCAGGTGAGACCACAGCCCTGGTCTGCAGTTTGATTCAAGCCCGAGCCAGAGGACCCCCTCAGCCATGCCCAGATCCCCGGCCCACAGGAATAAGAAGAAGATAATAACTCTCCGTGGTTTTGCTACGTGTGGGGGTAGCCGTTGGTGGCATTAGCTGACTAATACAGCCCCTCTTGCTCTCAGCAGCAGTGTGCTCCTCTGTGACGTGGCTGATGATGCTCTCCGCTCTGGTGATTGTGTGGGTGAAGCCAGCCTTGGGGGCCCTTCCCTGAGCTCCCACGGAAGCAGAGTGGCTGTTGCACGGCACATTCCTCACTGCCA